CATTCTATCACCCTGTTAGAGACCTAAAGGACCAGATACCCTATAGAATCATTCTATCACCCTGTTAGAGACCTGAAGGACCAGATACCCTATAGAATCATTCTATCACCCTGTTAGAGACCTGAAGGACCAGATACCCTATAGAATCATTCTATCACCCTATTAGAGACCTGAAGGACCAGATACCAGGCCTGGCTCCATGCTGGTCACTGTCATGGACCTTGATTTAACTCTCTCCATAAAGGCCTTCTGTGCTGCTCGTAGTCCAGGGGAGGCCAATTCCAGTTCCTGGGGGCCACTATCCTGCAAGGTTTAGATCCATCCTTGATCCGACACACCTGAATAAAAACGCTGAGTAACCTCCGCAGAATGCAGTCAGTTCCTCCAGTGTCTAAATCAGCTAATTTTTTCAATCAGGTGCGTCGAACCAAAGGAACTTTTAAAAGTTGCAAGATACCGGCCCTCAGGAACTGGAATTGCCCGCCTCTGACCCGTCTGACCCGTCACCTACGAACATTTTGCTACTGGAGACGCTACCAGGGGCATAATGCCCCGGATATCATACCTCCTAGGATCATCTGGGGGCGCAAACAACCCCAACATGGTAGTTTGTGCATATTATCTAATTATCGTTTTTTTGATTGGCAAATCATTTTATTTACCTGCTCAAATTAAGGGCAGGTAAATAAACCTAATTTAAGAATGCCCAGTGCAGTGTGTCTGGTTTCCTTCAGGGAGGCTCTGGGATCCGGATCAGATCCCTTCTGAACATCTGAACTTTGCTCTTTAAATCTGCTTTGATTGAAGACAGATCAAAGTGTAACAGAGGTTCTGTCACAGGGCGTTCAGGATCAGGCTCCGAGGAGGAATGTTCCCTTCTCACTCCTCTGGAACAAAACAAACGGAGAGAAGGTGGGGCAGAACAACCTGGCAGCGTCAGCCTGCAGGCAAGGAGGAGGGAAAACACGCCCTGCAGCCGTTAACACCCTCAGAATCAAACCAGAAGCTCGTCCCTCATTCCGCTCGCACTGAGCACACCCATGCGTGAACCTGTGTGTGCGCACGTGGCGCCGCAGCGCCGTGAGCGCATTGGTTCAGTCAGAGCATGTGGAGGAGAAGGATACTGCTGCAGCAGGACCTGCTGGAGCCTGTCCGCCGTCAGGAAGATGGGATGTGTCAACATGAAGTCATCCAGCAGGGTTTCTGCACACAAACACAGAGAGGTTAAATGTACACAGTGTACCTGAAGGCAGCATCAGCATTTCAAACATTTCAGCCCCGAAGTCAGAGAGAAAAACTGCATCCAGACATGCAGAGAGCTTCTAGAGAGCAGCTGCCAATAGAGGAGGGTTCTAACAGAACCTGAGCTGGATGGTTCTGATCCAGAACCGGGTTCTGATTATACGTTCAGCCTGCAGAGAGGCGGCTGTAATTTACAGCAGCAAAGCTGTGGTCAGAGTGACTGAAATACACGCTGCTCCCTGTGTGTGCGAGCAGGAGCCATGCTGCAGTGGGCGGGTCCAGCCCAGGCCCACCTCTCTGCAGGCAGTTACCATGGAAACAACACGGTGCCAACAGCGAGAGGATGGAGATGGAAATGTGAGAGAAGAAGAAGAAACTGATAAAAAAAAAAAATAGAAAGAAATCATGAGTGTCTGCTACAGGAAACCGGATCAGAACCGATCTGCCACAGCAATGCGGCCCGGTTCTGTCTGACAGGTTCTGGTCGTCTTATTGCAGGGAAGATAAAACATTTAGAACCGTCGATCCAGACGGGAGGATTTCTATCAAACCGAGTCCAAAGGGAAACCGATTCGGACCTGATCGGTACTGATCCGGTTCGGCTCAGAGGCCAGTTCATTCAGTCAGAACTTTCTCTGGGAACAGGTACCGGTCCGAAACCCAGAACTCCAAACCAGGAAAACATCAGACAGGAAATGAATCTGAACCAGAACTGATTCAGGAGTCGGTCTGAAAGGTTCTAAAAGAACCAAAACCCGGTCTGCCAGCTCAGAGTAGGACCCAGTTAGACCATCAGTCCATTCGAACCAGAACCATTTCCTGCAGAGAAAAAATAGATAAACTGAACAACTTTAGTCTAGAAACGTCTCAATGAACCAAAGTCAGTCCAGAACTGGACTAAAGCCAGACCTACGGTTCTAACCCGGTTCTAACTGTTTATTCTGAACCAATGGCTCAAACAAGGTACCAGGAGACCCAACATGGTCCGAAAATTAAGGTCTGGAGTTTTCACCAAGGCAGAACCAGCTGGGGTCACCCAGGATGGGCCTGCCCAGACCTGCCATGTTCCAGGTCCAGGACTTGATCCTGTCCGGTTCTGGTTCTGCCTGGACCTGCCATGTTCCAGGACCAGGACCTGATCCTATCCGGACCTGGTTCTGCCTGGACCTGCCATGTCCCAGCTCCAGGTCCAGGACTTGATCCTATCCGGATGTGGTCCTGCCCGGACCTGCCATGTTCCAGGTCCGGGACCTGATCCTATCCGGACCTGGTTCTGCCTGGACCTGCCATGTCCCAGCTCCAGGTCCAGGACTTGATCCTATCCGGATGTGGTCCTGCCCGAACCTGCCATGTTCCAGGTCCAGGACTTGATCCTATCCGGATGTGG